ACCATGAAAATATTTATAGAAAAATCACAAGAAAGTTATGTTATAGTGAAGGGAAAAGTGACTGAAGTTGAGATGCCAGGTCAGAACTGATAACATTCCAGATTCTTCTTTGGATTTTATCAACAATTTCTGAATACATAACAGAAGCACCAGACCAATTGTGAATTCCTATGTAATGTTTAATCTTATATATGGCAGTAAATGTTGGTCAATTTCCTAACAGATGAAGAAACTTGAAGCAACAAAGACAGGGTTCTATTGACACTGTTAAGAATACCATGGATAGAACATGCAAGGAAAATTTAAGAAAAATAATCTCAGAAAAGGAGCCTAGAGAATGTAACACTCATAAGACATATTGAAAGCAAGAGAAGCAAAAGTGCATACCAAGTAATCAACTTCATGAGTTTGTAGGCATGGATAACAGAACAAGGACAAAGTGGAATTATTAGAGCAACAAAAGACAGGAAGTTGTGGAGAGCTATGATCGCCTATAGCTTGAAAGGACTTAGTATATAAAAGACTATTACTAATCTTATCTCCTCCTCCACATCGCCCCCTCCTTTTAGTATTACTATTACAGAAGGCAGTAAAGGAAAGCAAGAAGAAGGGACTAAACATCAATTGCAAGAAGACAGAATTTATGGTTATCAATAAAAAAAAATAAAAAATAAAAAAAATAGACCAATATGCAAACTACAAATTGAAGATACCAAAATCAAGCAAGTAAAAAAATTAAAATATCTAGGAAGTGTTTTAACAGGATGGAAATTGGCACATTGATATAGCAAAAGATGCCTTTCAAAAACTAAGCAAAGTATCAACAGGAAAATTTTGTTAGAAACAAAGAAAACAGTACTGAACTGTTATATAATATCAGTTCTTTATGGCAGTGAATGCAGATGAGGAAGAGAAATGTGGTTCTACAGAAGGATGCTGAGGACTGCACATGTGATCAATGAAGAAGTTTTAGAGAAAATGGAAACAAGACACTTAGCATAATAAAAAGAAAGTTGAAGTTTCTAAGGCACATAATGAGGAAAAGAGGGCTTAGAAAATTTGACACTCATAGGTTATGTTGAAGGCAAGAAAAACAGAAGAAAGTACCTAACCAACCTAACAAGCTTGTGTAAATGGTTGACAGAACAGGGATTAGGAGAGATGGCAAAAAGACAAAATTTACTAAGTGCTACAAAAAACAGGAACTTTTGGAGAGCCATGATCGTCCACGTCCTGAAGGGACACGGTACATAGAAGAAGAATTGTTGCAACAGTGAAGTTATACCATGACAATAACTTGCTTAATATTTCCTTAATTTTTATGTCACAGCTGACAAAAGCTGACACCTTGCCACTTGGGAAAAGATTGTAGACAAAAGCAATTCAATTTTATTTCTGTGAGTGATCTCAAGGTGTCTAATGAACATTCAGTATGTGTGGGATTTATTTGATTTAAATATCTCACAAGATCTTAAGCAACATGCCATGGAACTAAGCTATTTCTTTCCTAATGGGAGAAACTTTTATTTAAAAAAATTGTTTAAGTTTTAGATTTGATAACAAAAAAAAAATTGTATCTGAATTATAAAATTTTCATTTTAAAAAAGATTCTCAAACAGAGTCTATAAGATCATCATCATTATCATCAGTCTCATATAACCAGAAGTGGTTGTAGGGTTGCTGCACAAAAGTGAAAGAGAGATTCCAGTCAATTTAGTGATGTTGTAAGCCTATGTTTCCTTCTGTCTGTTCCATTTGCCTAAGGTAGAATCTTGGAGGATAGAAGTGGAAAATGTGGTAGTTTTTATGGCATAGCCATACCATTTAAATTTTGTTTTCTTTACAGTGGTTATGAGGTCTTCCAATTGGTTCATTTCTCATCTGATTATGTCTTGCAGTGAATCATTTGTGAAGTGGTTAACATAGAAAATAAGTAGGATGATTCTGAAGCACCTCAATTCTAATGCATGGATTCTTTCATTTAGTTCTGCTGTTAATGTCCAAGATCTGCTGTCATATAGAAATATTGAAAAGGCCAATACATGCAACAGTCTGATCTTTGATTTTAGTCAGATCTATGTAGAAGATTCCTAGGATGATTCTGAAGCACCTCATTTCTAATACTTGGATTCTTTCATGTAATTCTTCTATTAATATCCAAGATTTGCAGGTATATACAAAGATTGAGAAGACCAATACATGCAAGGGACTAATCTGTGATTTCAGGCAGATCTATGTACAATATGCCTAGGAAGATGGTTCTGAATAGGCACCAATTTTCCATTTCAAATTTTCCATAATTCCATTTCAGGTATTAGGGAATTTCATTTTTTTCTGTTTTCAATATAGATGTCTGTTTTTGCTTTATTAATACTTAGTGAGAAATTGTAAACTATAATATAGTATTATATAATACTTGGTGAGAAATTGTAAACAATACAGAAATGTTATTAAAACAAGAATATAAAAATGAAATGGAAAATTTTACTCACTGGAATATCCACCCATGGGATAAATTACTCCAGCTTGATAAGGTTTTGTACCTCATACTTCAGCCCTTAATCTAAATTTGTGAGTTTCTGGGATAACCTTTGCAAAGAAAGGTACACTCCTAAATAAGAATTAAGTGGCAAAATCTACAGAAAAGTAGCACCACAAAGTCATCTGGAGACAAAAATCTACATTATTGTTTGGTCACTTTATTGAAATTATTACATAACATTTTTGAAAAAAAGACTAATTTGTAAAATCTGGCTTTCTGAAATGACAAAAAAGTCCCCCCACCTTTGTCATGATTTGTGATAAGAAAAGATAGGATTAAACAAAAAGACAAAAAGTTTTTCTGATTTCACAAAAAAATAAGCACCTCTAGTTCGATAACCTCTACTTTCTAATGCTTGGATTCTTTCATGTAATTCTGCCGTCAATGTCCAAAATTTGTAGTCATATACAAAGATTGAGAAGGCCATTACATGCAAGTGTCTAATTTGTGATTTCAGGCAGATGTTCTTCTTTTTCCCCTATATTAAAAAGATACTATTAAAATAATTTAACATTAACAAGAATATTATTGAAAGTTATCAGTAAACAATGTTGCAGAGATTTTACATTTTTAATTTCTGACTCATTTGGATAATATTTCAATTTTTGAACAATATGAAAAATCCAGTGTATAAAAAGTCAAAACCTAATGAATTACAGCAAAAATATTTCTAATTGTCAGTAATACCTGAACTCCTCTAAACAGAAAATAAACGTTCTATATGATACAATTCTGAGTTGAAAAGACCAATAGAAGAAAAAACAAATAGAAGAAAAAGGAAAAGTGAATACTCAATAGTTAACAAAGAAAAAAAAAATCAAAATGCACTGAAAGCAATATTTTCAAATGGATAAAAGCAGAAAATCATGATATCATGCAATCAAAACTGAAAAAAAAAAAAAAAAAAAAAAAAAGACAACACTGTCACATTTCAGACTTGACCACTCCAATCTGAAAATGCCAAAGCGAATAGTAGAATATACATCAAAATATATCAAGACAAAGTCTGTTTACAGACCTAAACAACAATGAACCTAGTTATGCCAAGATCTGTAAAAAAAAAAAAAAATTAAGAAAAATAATAAAGCTTCACATGACAGTGAAGCTGAATTTTTGAAAGTAGCATACTCTCTTGCTACATTCAAATACAAGTTTCTTAGTGAAACAAAACAATTACAGTTGACCACTGATGACAATTCCAGAACAACATAATAATAAACAATTTTTTCTAACCTCTGCCAGCCGCAATGATAAAGAAAGCATTACCTCGAACCATCGCCAGTGAGACACGCTGCAAGAGCCACTCCATTTTGCGAGGCTTGTCCCTTAATCGAGCTGCAATCGCGCCAATCCTCCGAAGGAACGCCATCGAACGAGGGCCAATAACCCCTGAAGTCTCCACTGCCACAGGAGTAAAAAAAAATCTATCAGCAAGAGAAGAATATTTAACTATTTTTTTCATCTCTGCGTCCTGGGCGATGGATCCTGGCTCAACCGTGGAACTGATCAAATTACCAACCAAAAATGTATCCGCACAGGTCGCATACCAAATCAACGACATCCCCATTTTAAAAAGGAAAATGGTAATGCCATCTGGCCGCTTTCCATCACCATGGTCGAAGCCTACGGGTTCGATTTGGGAAGGGAACCCAGCTGCATATAAACCTCTTTTGATGATGTCATTGCTGCATGCTGTGGAAAGTGGCTGGCACTACAACGACAGGAGAGAGGATGCAAACCAAACTCATCAATGGAGGCTCAACATCTGCATCTGTGACGCTCTCATAATTTGAGTCCAAGTTTCTTCTTAGTTTCTTGAAGAAAGTTTGAAATCAAGAAAATATCCCAAAGTAGTGGGATATATTACACATTAATACAGTATGGAAACAAAAGGGTAATCCTCAAACCAACACATGTACAGTGGTATCATAATTGGATCCATTATATTGAAAGTACTAATGAATATTGTATTAATGAGACTCTCACCATTCTACAAAAGTCAACTTCTAACAACCCAATTTGGCTCTTGTTTTCCAAAGGGATATAATGATGGCATATATGTTATCAAGCAACTCCAGGAAATTGCATATTTATCAAATAGAAAACTGTATAGTTGCTATATTGAGCAACTAGTAGCAAATGACCACATCAATATAGATTTCTTCTTTTCATTCATTAGATTGATTCATTCGTCTTTATGGCTTATCAACCTACTGCAGGTTATTTAAAGCCATAAAATAATTTTTTAGATTGTAAGAATTTTTTTATTTTTGAGATAATAATGGATTACTGATACACGTCTTACTAATTAACCCATAGCTTGGAGGAAAAAGAGATGGATTCATATCTTTCCCAAAGGCATTTGCACATAAATAAACATAACAAACCTAACTGGAATTGGAACTCAGCTTTTTGATTAACAATTCCAATATCTATTACACCACCTGCACATACAAGCTTACCACATCTGGTATTCCCAAGAAGTCACCCATCAAGGTATTGATCAGGCTCGACAGTGCTTAACTTCACTGATCATACAGGAACTGGTGTTTCAACATGATGTAACCATAAACCTCATCCATTGGAACCAACCTTGTAAGCTCCAACTCCACTGAATATATAGAACTGATAGAAGAATGAAATCATTACACAAAATCATTTATGGCTGGTGAAAACTCCAATATGGAATCACTTCAAACATCTTCAAGAGTAAAACAAGGAAGAAACGAGAGTGCCAATCTATTTAATCTCTACAAGACTATGCTCTACACTTGTACAAGCACAGATATGAAGAGATGGACATTGTTCATTTAAACATTCCACACCACATCTCAAATGAATCTACTAATAGAAAACAGTGTTCCTGTTTTCCTTCCCATGGCCAGTGTACTGATAAGAGGGGTGGCTATGATGATGACAAAGGTATTCATAGTTGGGATAAGAAAGGTCTTGAAAAATTGATTGTCAGCTGAAAACATCAGTTTTCTCAGAACAATGATTAAAAAATGTCTTTGAGTGAATGAACCTTGTATAGGTCATTGAAGAGACAATTCTTCATATCTCATGGACGAGTGCTACACAATAACAAAACCAAACTTTACCCAAGAAAAGAAACTCGATCATTTGAAGACTTTCAAAGCAGTAAAAGCTAAAATGAATAATGCATGTAATTCAAAGATAAAATAATGACATAATCAAAATGTTGACTTTTCACATTATTTCAAACAAAAAAGTTAGCAAGGTAATCTCCATTAATACTGCAAAGAACAATAACAGTGGACTTTAGATTTGGTTGGTTGATTTTGTTTAGTGGCATACCAAAATGTATTACTGGTATTTTAATATTTTCATAGTATTTTGTTTTTGTTTGAGGGTTCACTATTTGCCCATAGCTGGGACAGATGCTACCATTTAAAGTTAGAATGAACTTGGAAACTACAGCAATTAAGAGGTGGTTCCAGGCTCCTCAAAAACCTCCAATCTCTGGATCAGAGGCATTGTTGACAGATGTAGTTTATTGTCCTATCCAGGACTTTAGACAACTATTTTGAAAAAGATTTTGCAACAAAAAGTAATGATAACTGTTCCGTTAAGATATGCTGAATGTTTCCATGTAAGGAAACAACCAATCATACGATTACCATTCCAGGTTACTATAAATTTTTCTTCTGGATTTTCAAATGCATACAGAATTTTTTTGATTTTCAAATACATACAAAATTTTCTGGATTCTCAAATGCATACAGATTTTTCTGGATTTTCAAATGCATACAGAATTTTCTGGATTCTCAAATGCATACAGAATTTTCTGGATTCTCAAATGCATACAGAATTTTCTGGATTCTCAAACGCATACAGAATTTTCTGGATTCTCAAACGCATACAGATTTTTCTGGATTCTCAAATGCATACAGATTTTTCTGGATTTTCAAATGCATACAGAATTTTCTGGATTCTCAAATGCATACAGAAGATTGGAACTTGCTCAAACAAATTTTAGTGAAAAAAGATTCACTGCTGAAACCATGATATTCCTTTTGTTTGCACTAATATTCCTATGGTGTTTTCATTCTTTTATAGCCTTGTGAACAACTTTTCACTTACTAAAATTTGGTTATAACAATTGCTTCTGTGAGCAGATCCAAAATATAATCCCCTTGAGACCAAACACACTTTTTTTTTTCAATCATTTCACTCCAAGTAAGGTGATAATGCCACTAGAACACAGGGGGTTACAGGGAGGGAGAGTGAAAGCGAAAGAGAATGAGAAGACTGAAAATGGGGAGAATTGAGGAAAGGACTAAAAAGGAACAGGGTTCAAGAAGACAGATTGACATTGCATTTAGATTTTTGAATATTGTAGTTATCAGGGAAGCAGGAAACCAGAAGGGATTTCCACAGGTGGGAAGTGCAAGAAATGAAAAGAAACCGTTAGAGTAGAAGTGGCAATTAAATTTAGCTATTTCAACAATAAAATGGTGGGACCTAGTTGCCAATCTAGTAGCATGCTTAAATTCATGTAGTTGAGGCATCAGGGGAAAAAAAAAAAAAAAAAAAAGCATATCGGAGCAGTTGCCATATTTGTAAAAAAAAAAAAAACAAAAAAAACAGAGGGAGGCCACATCATTTTGTCGAGAAAGTGACTGAAGTCAAGATGTCTGGTCATGATCGATTACATTACAGATCCTTCTTAATCCAGTAGTGCACAAAGGGGGCAGATGAAATTTTATTAACTACATGCTAGAACATGAAAAATTGAAAAAAAGAAATTTGGGCTCGTTATGGTTTAAATTAGGGGTCAGCAACTCATTCGACCCTGCTGGCCGGATCGTGTTATAATGACGGGTCACGGGCCGGACGAAGGCCATTAATGAAAAATTAAGGAAAATTACATATGCAGACCCCTGTCAACCTAAATATTTAAAACCATAATGAAAATAAACATTGAGAAATCAGAAAAACAAAAGAAAATCTAAAATTAAAAAACACCTAACAAAAATTACTTTTCCTCGAGGAACGTCAAAATACTTCAAAGTGAAAAAAATCAACCAGAGTAAAATGGATGAAATTATGACGTGTAGGTTTGAAACTGTTATTGAAAATTTTCCACAAATGAACTATACACACACAGAAAAAAAAAAACGAAGCACATATACTCATACATACAAGTACAAATAGTTGCAAACATATACACTTATATACAATACACGCATGCGTATCATCCACACATTCATGAGGCATGTATGTATAATTTTTCCTTTTATGTTTAACTGTCTTTAGATTTCTGCTATGTCTAAGTCCCTCCCTGGCCTCTTTCACTTTGTCGTTCCTTTTCACTTCTGTTATCTTTTAATGTAGCCAAGGGTCATAACAAATATGTATCCATTATTTGACATTAAACGAAAGGCATTAACTTGGTAAAATAAGTCTCATGAAAGATAACAGGCAGATAGTCTAATTCAAAAGCCTCGCCTCTCATGTTAAAAATAGAGTCAGTAGTAATCAGGCTCGCGGGCTGGTCAAAATGCCTCCACGGGCCGTAGGTTGCCGACCCTTGGTTTAAATAGTGGCTAGATGAGGCATGGCTTTCAATAGCAATAGCAATATCAATTGTAATCCAAATGAAAAATTGAATGGCATGAAGCACAAAGAAAAAAATCATATGACAGTTGTATTCCAGTATTGTTTTCTTGTAAGTGTAAAGATCTTTATCCCTGGTGAATAGCTGAGGTACCACATTGCCTATATTGTGTATCACTTCATAATAACTCTTGTGCATTTTTGGTAGCTGTTGTAGCTTATTATCAATATCTGACTCTCCTGAGAATCATCTAAGGCAGCTCACATTGTCTTTGTAAGTTTCTTTATATCTTGTCTTGCCAAATAGGTTAACTTCCTATAATTCTTTCTGGAATAGTTCACTTGAGTGAAGTGGCAATAACTAAAACTCTTCACTGTTTTTGCAGGTTTCTTGATATGCTAGAAATACCAGAGAAAATTTTGTAGCTTTCCTATTTTAATTTTCCTATGAATCTTAATTCTACAAATAATGACTGAATAAGCTCCTTGCAAGTTCTGGGACTATAAAATACCCATGGAATAGACTATTTCATCACTAAATATGTAACTTTAACAAAATATTGCTATAACGCTCAAAGACATGAATGAATGAAAAGATTTGAAATTATCAACATTATGCATTTCACTGAAGCAGATATTAAATACATAAGAGCATTATAACTTTCTCCATCTTCTGTCTTCTCCTTTTACTCATTGAAACCAAACAGCATTTCTAATGTCTTTTTAGTCTTTAATCATGATCAAAACCAAATAAAAAAAAAAAAAAGTCCATTATTTATTTATATACTTACAGGGCATAAACCAAGTCAAGATACTGAAGCATATCATACTATCATACTAACACCCACTCTTGGTGACTTAATACTGTTAATCTTTCATTCTATAATATTTTATTAACTTCAATGTGTTTCATCAAAACGGAGTTTATGGTCACTCTGCATATGTAAAGGGGTGCTGAAAAATTCTCAGCCTGAACAACTTCCTAAAATTTATATTCTGTGTTTGGTCACTGAAATATTTATTTGAGGAAGTGGGTATGGTACAGAACTTTTCAGCACCCCCTTGTTTACAGAGAATGAGCAAAAGGCACACTGATTGTTCAAGAAATGTAGCCCAATTCTAAAGCCTTATTAGTTGTATATTTGAATAAAGAAACTCGCTAAATGAGGTTGCTTCATTCTGACTTTTCTAAATTTAACAGAGAATTGGTTTCATGAGGAAAATATTAACACATTGTAATAAATTTTTACGTAAAGTCATCCAAAAACGTCTTCTTTCATCTTATGTGTCATGTCCCTTCAGAATGTAGGTGATAACGGACCTCCACATCTTCTTGTCCCTTTTAGCGCTAAAGTTTTATCTTTGTGTTATTTCTCCCAAACATTGTTCTACCATCCATTTGCTCCAGCTCATCAGGTATGTTACCCACTGCTTTCCTCTTTCTCTCAATCTGTCCTGTGAGTATTACATTTTCCAAGCCCACCTTCCTCATTACGTGCTCCAGAAACTTCAACTACCACTTCCTGATGTTAAGTATAAGTTTCCATTTTTTCCAAAACTTTGTCATTACTCATGTGTTCAAGTCCATGGTATCCTCAGCATCTTTCTGTAGAACCACATTTGTTTCTTCCGTCTAACTGTTCAATACTATTTTCTTTGTTTCTAACAAAATTTTTCTGTCTCTTACTACTATGTTTAGTTTTTGGAATGCATCTTTGGCCATCCCAATAAATCTTTGGATTTCAGTGTCGCATTTTCTATCCTCTGTTAGAACACTTCCCAGTTATTTAAATTTTTGTAAGCCAATGTTAAAATGGATGGGAAGCATGAAAGTAAGTATGATGAGATGAAAATAAGGAAGACAAAAGTTGGATTAATTTATCAGCCGAGATAACATTTAATATGAAGACATAAATTTGTCATCATCATAAAACAAAAAAATAAAACAACAGAAAAAAATTCTAACCATCTACTTCATT